TGGAGCCTTGGTATTGTTGGATGATTTTTGGTCTTTTTTTGGCGGGGGGGGGGGGGGGGGGGGGGGGGGCCTGCCACCAAGCTCCCAAATAAATCACACACGGAGGCTTATTCGTAATTATGAATGCCTGGCCTTAGCTTGGCTTAGTTTCTAGCCAGCTTTCCATAATTTAACTTAACCTTTTGCCTCTGGGCTTTTCCTATTCTCTTACTTCTGTAAATCTTACTCTTACTCCGGGGCTTGCTGTGTAGTTGGGCGGCTGGCCCCTGGAGACCTCCCCCTTCTCTGGCTCCTAGCTCTTCTCTTCCCAGATTTCTCCTTCTATATACACTCTCTGCCTGCCAGCCCCGCCTATCCTTTCTCCTGCCTTGCTATTGGCCCTTCTTTATTAGACCATCAGGTGGTTTACACAGGCACAGTAACACAGCTTCACAGAGTTAAACAAATGCAACATAAGCAAAAGTAACACACCTTAAAATAATATTCTACTACACCCTGGGTTCAATTCCTAATACTGGTTTAATAAAATGCTGATTGACCAGTAGCCAAGCAGGAAGTATAGGCGAGGCGACCAAACTAAGGATGATGGGAAGGAGAAGGGCAGAGTCAGGAGTCGCCAGCCAGATGCAGAGGGAGCAGGAGATGAATGTGCCAGGCTAATAAAAGGTACCGCCACATGGCAAAGCGTAAATATGGAATATGGGTTAACTTAAAATGTAAGAGCTAGTTAGTAATAAGCCTGACTTATTGGCCGAGCATTTATAATTCATACTCAGTCTCTGAGTCGGTTGTTTGGGACCCAGTGGTGAGGACAGGAAACATCTATAGATACACCCTTCAAAGATATGACCCTTGTGACCTACTTCTTCCAACCAAACATAACCTCCCAATAGCATATTCAGTGTAAATTCACTGATGAATCGACCCAGTGATGAACTTAGCACTCCCAGATCCATTCATTCTGAATATGGCATTGAGGTGACCAGCCTTTAACACATGAGCCTTGGTGGGGGATACTTCATATCTAAACAATAATACAAGTTGGAGTGTAGCTAGAGTTTTCCTGTCTAGCCCACAGTCAGGACAAATCTCTCTCACCTGCCAGTCCCACAGCCACTCAGACCCGACCAAGTAAACACAGAGACTTATATTGGTTTCAAACTGTATGGCCGTGGCAGGCTTCTTGCTAACTGTTCTTACAGCTTAAATTAATCCATTTCCATTAATCTATACCTTGCCACATGGCTCGTGGCTTACCGGCATCTTCACATGCTGTTTCTCATCGTGGTGGCTGACAGTGTCTCTCTGACTCAGCCTTCCACTTCCCAGCTTTATTCTCCTCCTTGTCCCGCCTACACTTCCTGCCTAGCCAATGGCCAATCAGTGCTTTATTTATTGACTAATTAGCAACACATTTGCCATACAGAACATCCCACAGCATTGGAGATTGTGGTGTGTCAGTCTGAGATTACAGCAATAAAGTCAGAAGAGAAAAGGTAGGAAGATCTGATAGTTGAGAAGCCTAAATATGTCACGATGAGCAAGTGGGTTGTTAATTACTAATGAACGGGGCAGAAAACAGCACAGGGGTTTCTGCTCCTTCTATCTGTTGTTATCATAACAACATATGTTCTGTCCATTCCTGCCTTTATTTTACTAGAATATAGGACATTTTTAGATTTAGGTCAACTTACATGTTCAATAGATGTTTGATGACCAGTATTTTCTCATTGGGAACTACAAGTTAATTCCATATACCTCCTCTGCTGTGTTCTTCCTGAACTGAGACATTTAAGAAAGGTCCATCTTTAGTGAATTCCCACTCACTACCGTAAATGAAGCTCAGTGGTCGAGTGCTTTGCTTAGCACGTGTAGGACTCTGGGTTCAATCCTCAGCACTAAAATAAGTAAATAAACAAATAGATAAATAAATGTACCAGATGACTATCACTCCCAGAAGATGGTTTCAATCCTGGCTGCTTGTTAGGACCCCCTAGGGGAATATTTGTAAAAATTCAAAAGCTAAACAAATGATTTCTAGTCTCTGGTTTTGTTGGTTTGTTTGCATTAGTTGTTTTGGGGAAGAGGGACTGAAATAGATCTCACACTATAGATCTGGTTGGCCTGGAACACACCATATAATCCAGGCTGACATGAATCTTACAGCAATCCTCCTGCCTCAGCCTTTTGAGTGTTGGGATTATTGTCATGACCACCATGCCTGGCTTTGGAATATTGACTTTGGTGTCAGTATTTGTATTTTAACCTTTCCAATGGCTATACTATGCAACTTCAGCGGAAATGGCTGACCTTGAGACTAGTCTCTAAGTACAAAAGCTTGCTCTCTTTGCTTTCTGTCCATTTACTATGAAACTCACAAGTATACAGTGTGGATGGATCCTTTAGAGTGTTCAGTATTCCTAGATTATCTCTCCCTACTCCACAACCCTCCAACTTGAAAAGTGAAGAATCCTGACTAATATGTCTTCCTTCCAATGAGCTCAAAACCAAACTGAACATAACATACTTGATTACAGATAAATCCAGAAAAAGCATTGGTGACATGAGCTGTGTGTCAATCAGTACAAACTATTAATTCTTTTATCTACACAGAGAGAGAGATACATACACACTAAAAACATAGAAATAAAAAGGTAGAAAGTGACAGAGGAAGACATCAGTCTCTTGACTCCATACAACAAAGCACATGCATGTAGACGTGTGCTCACACACATGAATGTGCATAAACACCTTCACACACATATGACACACAAAAAACTAATCACCCTATATCATCAAAAACAATCATCTATTAATTTTTATATATTGAAAAAGTACTGAAAGTCATTTATTCAAAAGATGATTCTTGAGGTAAAGTTGGTAGTACCTTCCTGCATTCCCTGTATTTTGGGAAGCTGAGGCAGGATTTCTTGAGTCCAAGAATTTGAGTTCAGCTTAGGTAATAACGAAACAGGTGCTTCTTAAAAAGTGTTAAGGGAGGAAAAGTAAGAATCTACATTCACATTTGTTTATATGTGTATCAGATAAACCCAGAAAAAGGAAATTAAGAATTAGATTAAATCTTAAAAGAACATTATATGTGTACTATATATATATACTGTATATATAAAACAGTTATATACAGTATATATACAGTTAAATCTAGAAGAGAATGTTTGATGGTATACAAATTTATTATGGTTATGTAAAATATGCATGTGGGTGAGGCACAGAAGATAATAAATAAATTTGAAGATAGTTATTAGCTTGGTGGAATTCAAGGTGATTTTTTTTTCCTTTCTGAAAACTCATTTTAATCAACTTTGCTAGCTCATGAATTATTTTAACCTATATTGGTCCACATATAGGTTTAACTGCATAAGATCCAACATACTATCAAATAAGATTACAATTTCTCTCTGATATTGCAGTCTAGATACAAACCCCACAGGGGTGATACAGTAGGTTTCTTCTGGTGTACCCCAAGCTCCTATCTTTTTATCCTGCCTCCCTTCTAGTGTTCTCAAATGGCTTTCCTACAATGTCTGTATTCCAGCCAGCCAGAAGAGAAAGAACAAGAGACAAACACATTCTGCTTCTAAAAACTAGTGCCTGACACACAGGCAAAGAGAGAAAGGAAGTAGGAAGGGAGGGAGAGAGGGAGGGAGGGAGGGAGGGAGGGAGGGAGGGAGGGAGGGAGGGAGGAAGGAAGGAAGGAAGGAAGGAAGAAAGGAAGGAAGGACTGAGTTTGAAATAACTCTAGTCTTGAAAGAGTCTGCTAGGGAAACTCCATAATGAAAGGTACTTGCCAGCTTCCTGGTACAAGCCTATGACATTTTCTCTCTGGCCTTATAGATGTCAGGTGGTAGGAGAAGAGTAGAATGGTTTGCGATATATCCATTTGTTATCTATACTCACTTAATTGGAGATGATAGTTTCAATATGTAGGCAGATGCCGCTCACTCAGCTCCATTACTTTCAATTCCTGACCAACTCATGTTTCTGTGATCTTCAGAGTTCAAGACTGTAGCTAATGTTACTAACAGAAATCATCTTAACCAGGACTATAATAATGGATTTTCAACATTTGTAAAGTGAATTAGTATTCCCCTTGCTTATTTGGCTGAGGCATTTACAATAACCACTGAATTCAGGGATTCATCTCAGTATGAATCTGTCAGTAAGGAAAATAAAAGCATTGCCACTCAAAAGGGGCATCTTGTTTGAAATTCAATTTGCTCACTTTTCAACCAAATTTAGCATTGGGAGAATACTCTGTAATGACTCTTGATGCATGCCTTATTGGTAAGCGAATACATAGCTTTTAAATATTTATTGGAGGTCATTTAAGCGGGTGCAAAGATAAATCAATACAAATGTGAAGATCTATTCTTCCTGCTAAATTATTAGTAATCATCACTCTATATGCTCCGGTGCTGTTAAGGTGTGAAGGGATGCAGAGGGATTGGAGAGAGTGCCTAGAATGTTAATATGCCTAATGTATCCTTATGCCAAAAGCACATGACATAATTCATTACATATTATGTGACTTCCTGGCATTGCTCATAGGAAGCCATTTGAAAGTCATATTACTCATGATGTGAATGACTCAAAATTTTAGCTTTCTTAGGGTCATTTATTTAAGAAATATTTTAATATTTAAGAAATTTCTTGGAAGAAAAATTTTAATAATCTTGAGAACTAAGATAGCCACCAATTACAAAAAACAACCAATCTTTTATTTTCCTTGTAACTCTGACCTTCTTGGGTTCTGTATTCGTCAAAGGCACAGTCACCAGCCACCCAACCAAATATCCCCACCCCTACTCCATCCCTTGGTGACATCACATTTCCAGTGTCCCAGGAGCAGCTCACAGGAATTCTGCTCCGCTCCTCTCAATCCAGCAGCTGGTGAAGACTCGCAAATTCTCTGCTGACAGCATACAATTTGAATTCCTGTGGCATGTGAGGTATTTTCTAATTTGGATTCATCCTTCCAGCAAACATGTCTGATTGCTAAAGAAGTGAAAATATCCACGACACTTTCCTGTGCATTGTTTCCGTCTCGACGCTGAGATGCCAGCCTTGACACTGAGATGCCCGCCTTGACACTGAGATGCCAGCCTCGACACTGAGATGCCAGCCTGTCCTGTTCCAATGACATGAAAATCCAGTCTGGTGCTCAGCGAAGTTGCTGCTTCCAGAGTTAACCTCAGGTAATCCCATCTAGAGAGATTCTTCCCACTACCCCTTCTAGTAATAATGAATTTATTAGAATATATTATGTAGATTCTAAAGCTGTGTGCATCCCTGTAATCCCAGAAACCCAGGAGGCTGAGTCAGGAAGAGCTCAAGATTGATGCTATCCTGGTCGACATAGTGAAATATAGTCTCAAAAGAAATGATGGGCTGGGGAGATGGCTCAGCAGTGAAGAGTACTGACTGCTCATGTGGAGGATCCAGGTTCAGTTCCCAGCACCATGGTGACTCAAACCATATATACCATATAGAGGATCTGACTCCCTCTTCTGGCCTCCCCAGGCACTGCATGCATACAGTGCACTTGCATACATGCCAGCAAAACACACACACACACACACACACACACACACACACACACACACACACACACACACACACACACAAATTGATGTCATTTGTTTGTTTGTTTGTTTTGACACAGGATTTCTCTGTGTAGCCCTGGCTGTCCTGAAACTTGCTCTGTAGACCAGTCTGGCTTCCAACTCACAGGGATCCACCTGCTTCTGTCTCCCAAATGCTGGCGTTCAAAGCATGCACAGTCACCAACCAGCTTCGATAAGTCTCTTTTTTTTTTACTTAAGAAATGAAGCCGGGCGGTGGTGGCGCACGCCTTTAATCCCAGCACTCGGGAGGCAGAGCCAGGCGGATCTCTGTGAGTTCGAGGCCAGCCTGGTCTCCAAAGCGAGTTCCAGGAAAGGCGCAAAGCTACACAGAGAAACCCTGTCTCGAAAAACCAAAAAAAAAAAAAAAAAAAGAAAGAAATGAAATAAGCCGGGCGGTGGTGGCGCACGCCTTTAATCCCAGCACTCGGGAGGCAGAGCCAGGCGGATCTCTGTGAGTTCGAGGCCAGTCTGGGCTACCAAGTGAGTTCCAGGAAAGGTGCAAAACTACACAGAGAAACCCTGTCTAGAAACCCCCCCCCAAAAAAAAAAGAAAGAAAGAAATGAAATAAGAAAAAAAGGAAATGAAGGAGGAAAGAGAAAATGAAAAAAAAGAGCTTTTATTGTGAGTGAGACACTTTGCTGAGCAAGCATTAATTCAATTGTCATTATAATTACTCCATCTTAGTATAAAGCCCTCTACAAACTAAGTCATGGGTTTATAAGTATGCAGCTAAGAAGTGGGGAATCAAAGTTCAGGTCTTCTGGCAGTAGAGATTATAGTCTTTGAAAACATTCTGCCCGACCCTAGTAGTGTCCAAATCTGCCTCCATCTACTCTGAGACATAGGGGTATGCTTTTGAAGGGCTGTCACCCACACTCTCTCGTGCTGTGTTTTGTATGTAATAGCTGCTTGTTCAGATTCTCTAACAAATAAATAGAAGAGGATGTGGAGGCCTGCTAACCCTAATTATAGTTTCCATTCTCAACAGCCACTTTCCCAACTCGTGGGTACAGACTTCAGACGACGTGTAACCCACCGAGAACAAACTGTGGCCATCACGGCGCTCAGAGGCCCTCGTGGCTCCTCAGTCCCGAAGAGTGATGCTGGGGAAATACCACATGACCAGCAGGCTAGCAGAGGCTTAACACTTGAAACTCAGCTAGAAATATGACAGCACTTTAAGCTCTGCTTCTCACAACTGGTGACAGCTTTGTCTTAACTGCAAGCATCCCAGCCCTCCAAGAATTACTACCATAATATTTATTGAGCAATAACAATTGCTAACTGCACTTCAGAGTGTTGAATCATCATCTTTACCCGGGAGAATTGTAATTTAAATTCTCTAGGTCTACAGAAACGTAAGGAGAAAAGGCAATGTTCTTGCTCTGCCCTTCTCGTTCTCCTCCTCCACATGTATTTCATGAACAATGCAATATGCCTCTGGAGAGTCAAAGCACCCCTCGACACTGAATTAGGCACTCAGCAAAGATGTATGAACTTCATCCGTGCTGAGATGATGGTGTTTGAGATGTGACTTCCCATATATGCTCCAATTGAGTTAGTACAGCTTCTCAAGGTGATTGACACTCAAACACTGTGATGTATGATCAAAGATGTAGCCAGGGCTGGTACTAGAAAAAAAAATTGTGTAAGAACTGCAAATATAAATTGCAGTTTCCTAATAGTACCACCTCCCACTCTGTGTATGTGATGCCTTATTCCACAGGGCTCCCTCCCACTCTTTTTCAGTCAATCTCTACTAAACAGTCTGCTGGCAATGAACTAATTAATGCATTATGTCTTAAAGTTCATTTTTATTTTAACTATAATACACGTATGTAGTTTAAGAAATAAAATATGGCAAAAATCAGCCCCCAAGCCCACAGTTCCCCCAGCATCTATCCCTGACTCATGAAGGATAATTATCCAGGGAGATTCTTGCCTCTCTCACATCAGGCTCTTTATCTTTATTAGTCTATCTGTTATGACTTCCTCTTTCTTATTTTACTGGGTTTTTTTCTGATGATATGTTGGGGTGGAATCCAAGACTGTACACATGCTAAGAAAGCCTTTACCTCTGCATCACATCCCAGCCCCTACTTGCTTTAAAAAAAAATATTACATTTATTTATTATGTGTGCATTTTGTGTGTGTGTGTGTGTGTGTGTGTGTGTGTGTGTGTGTGTGTGTGTGTGTGTGTACATGCACACATGCATCGAAGGACATTTTGTGGAAGTTAGTTCTCTCCCTCCGCCATGTGGGTCCCAGGAATTGAACTCAGATCCTCAGAATGGGTAGCAAAGCCCTTTACCTGATGAGTCATTTCACCTGCCCACATCTTCATTTTAATAGACCATAGCTCTCCCATATGATTGAGGGGAGCAATAACATCCAAAATCACCTATACTCAAGATAGAGAATTTTAATCTGGTGTTTTCTCTCTGAATTTTTGTCGCATTTCTCCATTGTTTCATAATTTTTAGTACTTAGCAGACAGGAAAGCTGAGGGCCAATGTAGTCAATGGCAGGGTCAGACCTCAAGCTCAGAATGTTATTCTCCTACCATAGCCAGCCTGTAGTCAGAAGTTCTTCTGTGTCCCACCTCGTCCCATAGCTGCTCAGACCCAAGTAAACACACAGAGGCTTATATTACTTACAAACTGTATGGCCTATGGCAGGCCTCTTGCTAGCTCGCTCTTATATCTTAAATTAACCCATTTCTATTAATTTATATTTTGCCTTGTGTTCTGAGGCTTACCAATCTGCTGGCATGCTGTTCCTTGCACAGCAGGCTGGCATCTCTCCAGACTCTGCCTTTCTCTTTCCTGTCTCTCTCCTTGGACTTCCTGCCTGCCTCTAAGCTGCCTTGCCATAGGCCAAAGCAGCTTATTTATTAACCAATGGGAGCAACATATATTCACAGAAAGACATCCCCCAGCACCAGGCTCTCTGTAATAAAGTAGGGAAGGCTAAAATGAGACTCATGCTAGCAGGGTTCCCACTCTGATAAGGGGTCATTTGTAATCTAAAGCTTGTGTTGAAGAATTGTATTGGAAACCAAAGCACAGGACAGGACCTCACAGCCAGGGGCATAACTGCTGTTTTTTGTTTTGTTGTGTTTTGCTTGCTTGTTTGTTTGTTTTTCAAGACAGGGTTTCTCTATGTAACTGCCCTGGCTGTCCTGGAATTCCCTCTGTAGACCAGGCTGGCCTCTTTGAACTCAGAAATGTTCACTTGCCTCTGCCTCCAAAGTGCTGGAATTAAAGGTGTGTTCCACCACTGCCTGGCCTATAACTGCTCCTTTATACACTTTATTCAGTGTATCAAGTTGAAAACATGCTCTACGGTTTTTGAGATTACAGAAATTGGGTGTTGGGACACAATTCTCCGTGGGTCACTCATTACTGCACATCTTGCCAGGAGGAGCACTGACCATCTTTGTTCCAGACTGTCTTTTGAAGGATGCATGTGTCACAAACAACCATGGGAGATACAGGTAGTATCTGGCTCTAGATCAAAGGGAAGGCTAGCATTAGCCCAGGAACATAGAGACGTTGTCTCCTGGAGCAGACATGTGCTCTAGACCTTTCAATTGATTTGGCTCAACAAACTCAGGGTTCCTGTAATACTCTCCACCACAGGTACAAGTATTGTCTGGTACATTTTTGTCTGGGTTGGTCTTCAATTTGGTTCTATCAATCAGTGTGTCTGTGTCTGGTTTTGTGCCAATATCATGCTGTTTTTATTACTATAGCTTTGTAGTATATCTAGAAATCGAGGATGGTCACACCTCCAGCAATTCTTTTATTATTCAGGATTCTTTTAGCTATCCCGGGTTTTTGTGTTCCCATCTGAAGCTGAAAATTGTTCTTTCAATGTCTGTGAAGAATTGTAGTGGAATTTTGATGGGGATTGCATCGCAAGCACCTTTTAAAACTCACAGAATAACTTAGCTTTCAAAAAGGATGGGGCAATTTGAAAAAGTTTGTGTTGGGCTGTTGCCTTCCAAAATCACCCTGCCTTAGCAATCGCCTAAGGAAGCCACAGGAAGGTTCTGGAGTGGACCCAAACAGAACTATAACAAATTCATGATGGGGAGGTAATAAAGGTGACAGAACCCAAGCCGTGAATTCAGACAACTGTTGTTAAGTTCTGGCTCCTTTCTGACCATTCACAAAGCACAAGGCAGATGTCTTCTCATCTCTCAGCTCAACCTCCATGTCTGAAACCGCCTGTGGTAAAACCCAACAATACTGTTTTGAAGACTACACCCTAATGTTTTGTGCAACATGCTGCATAAATAAAGGATTCATAATAAGTATTTGTTGTCTAAATTGCAGAGGGTCTGGACCAGTATCTGGCCGTATTAGCTACCTGTTTTGTTACTGTGACAAAACATTCTGACAAAAGCCACTTAAAGAAGGAAGGGCTCATTTGGGCTCCCAGTTGCAGAGGACAGCCCACCATGGCCTGGAAGTCATGGCCACAGGAGCTTCGGGCTGCTGACCATATTGTCTCAGATGAATGCAGTGTTCAGCTCCCTTCTCCTTCCATCCTTGGATCATGGGATGGTGCTTATCACAATTAAGGTGGGTGTTCCCTTAATTGTGGTTAAATATCACAATTAATAAATTAATAAACTAATCCCCCACAGGCATGCCCAGAGCCTTGACTCCTAGGTGATTCTATGTCCTGTCAGGAAGACAATAAAAATTAATTATCACATAGACTTTCCACATTAAAATGATACAGATGCTGCAGACCCATTAAAACTTTGGGATCTGCTGGCAAGGTGGTGCATACCTTTAATCCCAGGACTCATGAGGCAGAAGCAGGCAGATCTCTGTGACTTCAAGGTTAGCCTGGTCTACATAGTGAGTTCCAGGACAGCCAGAGCTACATAATAGAGCTTGTCTCAAAAAAACCAAACAAAACAACAATAACAAAAAGCCTTGGTATCTGAGCTAGAGGGACAATTCATCACTTAGGAATGGCTGCTCTTCTAGAGGACCTGGTTCAATTTCCAGCACCCATATGGTGGCTCACAACTGTCTGTAACTCTAGTTCCAGGGACTCTGACATCCTCTTCTGGCCTCTAAGGGCACCAGACATACCTGTGGTGCACAGACATGCATGCAGGCAAATTACCCATACACATAAAATAATAATAAAAAAGTTAAAAGCCTTGAGATTTCTGTCCGCATAAAAGAAGAGACTCATTGTCCTAATGGCACGTGAACCACTCAGCATCTTCAGGGGAAGGCTTCAGCTGACTCCAGACAGCACAAGACTGGGAGCTGAGCCAGGGTTAACCTTGCTCCTCAGATTATTAGATGAAGATGAAGGTAGTAAACAAATGTGATTCCTGCTCATGGCCTTGAATCTGAGATTTGTTCTGTCGGAAAGAAAACAAAAGGTTACCACTTCTGAACTTGGGAGTGAGCACTAAGGAAAATCATCTTGATGGTAGTGCCTAAAACAATCTGGTGGTAGATGGGAGTGAAGCAGGAAAAGTAACTAGGGAGCAATAAAAAGTTCTAGACCAGGGGCCTCAGATGCTTCAGCAATGGTGCTGATATCATACGTAGTCAAAAACAACCTTCTTACCATATTTCAACTTCATAGAAAGCAAGCAGCTGCCCTTGGGTGACAGTGTGCTTGTCTTACATTCGTTGTGGTGACTACTTCACAAAGGAATCCCTGTAAGTAGTTCAGTTGTTCTCTGTTTTTTTTTAATGTAGTTCTTAATAACATGAATAGAAAGATATATCTTAATTTAAAACGGAAAGCTGTTCTTAGGATAAAAACTCCATTGTCTTTAATACCAAGGGTTTAGGGGCACCACTTTTTCTTTAGAAAGTTCCTAATAAAGAAGAAAAATAAAATAAAGCCAGTATGTAACAAAAATTCACACTCAAGGGCATCTACTTCAGAGCTAAAACAAAACCTTTTAAGGAGGATTATTTATTTGAACAGAAACTCTGCAGTTTAAGAGGAAAAGAAATCATCTTGAAGTAGTAAGATGTGAATTTGAGAGTTTAGTTCCTAAGTGGGCATTTTTAAATGTGATTAGACTAGGAGATGGTGATGATCCTGCTGCAGGTCTGTCTGGGTGACAGTTCTATTACAGACCAGGCTCGCTCATTGCAGGGAACTGTGGCCGGCATTTCAGTTATGCGGGGCAGAAGAAATCACCTCGTTATTTGTAAGCCATTTGTGACCAGACGCTCATCCACCGGATAGCGCCGTGGCTTTCAGCAACAGGATCGTTTAGGTTTGCCATCTCGGGGGCTATGGAGACATACCGGGGGGACATTACTGGGCTCATGCAGAGGTTTGCTTCTGTCATTTTCCTCTTTGCTGACCAAAGGAAATTACAAACCATTATGTGCAACTGTGCCATCATTATGGATTTATGAGAGAAATAAATGATTCCTTTGATGGATATAAGAACGCAGAAGCTTCAAGAGTTGATTTCCTTAAGCTATAATGCCATTTCCCACTCTCCACACCCGTCTCTCTCCTTTTCAGGATGTACCAATCCCAATGGAGAGAAAATAATTTTTTTTTAATTTTTGTGTGATTTACCACTACCATATTAAAATCTTTTCTTTACAAATTTTTACTTTATTATTTTTAATTATGTGTATATGTATAGGGTGAGTCGAGTGGAGGTACCCACAGAGACTAAAGGCATCCCCCTGGATCTAGAGTTACAGGTAGTTGTGAATCACCTGATATAGGGCCTGAGAACTAAACTCAGGTCCTCAGTAAAAGCACCAAGAGCTAGCGCTCTATGTTCATCTATTTTTTAATTTATAATTATATTAAATATTCATCTTATGAGCAAGGTAAGTCTTATGGAAAATGTCAGTGCCCTAGTGATAAACAAAGGGTGTTAAAAGGGTGCTTCCGCCGGGCGGTGGTGGCGCACGCCTTTAATCCCAGCACTCGGGAGGCAGAGCCAGGCGGATCTCTGCGAGTTCGAGGCCAGCCTGGGCTACCAAGTGAGTCCCAGGAAAGGCGCAAAGCTACACAGAGAAACCCTGTCTCGAAAAACCAAAAAAAAAAAAAAAAAAAAAAAAAAAAAAAAAAAAAAAAAAAAAAGGGTGCTTCCCAGAGGGGTTCTCCCCAAAAAAATGACAGCTCCAACTCAGCATGGGACTAGTTGCTAATCATTTTTTTTTTTTTGTATACAATTCTCAAATACAAGCTAGGAAGAATTAAACTTACCCGTAAGAGCTAACGAAGTAAGTTTAATGAAACCCTGAATAACTACTGGGCCAAATGTACAGTATTAGTAAATCTTCAAAGTCTTGATCAGGTAGCATCATGAGAAATCCAGTCATAACTGGTAAGGGAAGCAATCACGTGGCTAATGAAGCCAGTTCCCCTTGGTGGTACAGTCAAGATGATGGGATAAACGGAAGTGAGGAAAAAGGTTGGCAGTAGATTGCAGAGGGTGGCCCACAGAGCCCTGAAGTACCCTCTGCACACTGTGACTTTGTAACATGTGAATGGACCTGGGCTTGGCTGTGGGTGAGGGCAGACACACAGCTATTGTTCCATCAGCCAGAAAACACTCACTGCATGTGGGTGGAGTCATCCTAGATAATCTAGCTTTAGTCAAGCATATTTTTAGGAGGAAAAAAAAGCCACAGGTTCTCCAAAACCCACGAGAAGAAATATTTTCATAATCCGCACAGTTTTGGGCAGTGTGTTATTCGGGAAGCACCACCTGATACAGAAGGCATTATGAGGAATGTGGTGGTTTGAGTGAGAATAGCCCCATAGGCTCATATACTTGAATGTCTGGTTCCGCTTGGTGGACTGTTTAGGAAGGATTAGGAGGTGTGACTTAGTTGAAGGAGGTGTGTCACTAGAGGTGAGCTTCAAGGTTTCAAAAAGACCAGACCAGACCAGACCAGACCATTCCCTCTCCCTCCTTCTCTCTGCCTGCCTCTCTCTCTCTCTCTCTCTCTCTCTCTCTCTCTCTCTCTCTCTCTCTCTCTCTCTGCCTGCTTCCCTCCCTCCTTCCCTCCCTCCCTCCCTCTCCCTCTCCCTCTCTGCTTTCTACTAGGAATCAGATGTAAGCTCTCAGCTACTGCTCCAGTGCCAAGCCTGCCTGCCTGCCACTAATCCTCCTGCTATGAGGGTCATGGTTTCATCTACGGTGATATTTTATTTTGTACTAAAATGTTATTTGTGTGTTAATAAATAAAGTTGCCCAGGGGTCGGAGCTATTAGCAAGCCATAGGAAAGCCGGGCGGTGGTGGCTCACGCCTTTAATCCCAGCACTTGGTAGGCAGAGCTAGGTAGATCTCTGTATGTTCAGGGATACAGCCAGCATTGGAGACACACACCTTTAATCTCAATACCAACCATAGAAGACCTAGAGGTCTGTACAGACAGGCAGTGACGAGGTAGTCATGTGGTTGGGTTTACAACCAATGAGAAGGCAGAACTGAAAGTCTTTATAAAGACTTTAACACAGGAAGTAGCTCTCTTTCGGAGAGGTAGGACCACCGCAGGACGAAGGGTAAGGTTTTAGCTCTTAGCTCTGACCTCTTGGCTTTCTTCTTTTCATTGGTTCTGTGTTTCTTATTTAATAAAACGGTTGGTTACATCTACATTCATCCTCGAAAGCTGAAAGTAAGTTCCCAATGAAATGCTTTCTTTTATCAGTTGCCTTGGTCATGGTGTCTTGTCACAGCAGTAGAAAAGTAACTAAGACGAGGGGTATTCTCCTAACAGCATCAGCTTGGAGACAAATGACAAACAGAGACTGGAAAGGAAACTGAGAAGTTACCATCCGAAGTTGGTAACAAACTGCCTTAGTAGCTAGAAAAATGGAGAAACAGTGCCCAGACTGTTGGCTGTGATGATTTGAAAGATGGAAACTTAGTATAAATTTATAGAATCAGCTAAGGACATTTCCAAGCAATGTCTTGAAAAAGTTGGCGCTTTTGTTTTTGTTTTTGCAGAAGATAAAGAAGGGAGCAACAGAGAGAATGGATTGAGCTAAAGGCAAAAGTATAATTTTCCTGCAGAATTCAAAGACCATTCAAAAGGACCCAGGACTTTTGAGACCTGGGAAAGCAAACTTAACCTTTTTCTGGCCTCTTGGGCCATTAAGCCGGTCTCAAAAGGAGCTGACTTCACAATGCAGACCCACATCGTGGGGTTGGTTGGAAGAAAGACCCCTCTATGTTTCCCTGTGGTCTGACATTGGCCCAACAGTGAGAGAGCCTTCTCAGAAGGAGTGGGTGAAGTGGTCTTCACAACAAAGGAAGGCAAACCAGATTTAGGGAACACCTACCATTCACTTTATACTGAGAGTTCTACTGATAAATCCCTGCTGGCTGGGGCTGAGCAAGAAGAAAGGACCAGCCTGGTTCAACTGGGAGAACATGCACTTAGCATGCACAACACTCAGGGTTGGGGGCCCAGCACTGCAGAAACCCAGCAGACAGTTGCTTGGCTGTAATCTCGGCCCCGGGAAGGTTGAGACAGGAGGATTAGAAGGTCAAGGATAAACCAGGCATGGTAGCATACACTTTTAATCCTAACACTCCGGAGGAAAAGGCAGGTGGATTGCTATCAGATGCCAGTCTTATCTAAATTGAGTTCTAGGCTAGCAAATGCTACATAGTGAGACCTATGTAACAAACAAACCTATCAAACAAACAAAAA